ACTCAAATAAGCAGGGGATCATGGTCCAAAATGAAGAACTTTCTTTGGAAAGGCAAAATGAGGACCCAGGTATTACACATCAGTCGCACAAGAAAATCAAGGTATGTAAGAGTATGAGGTATGAGGACCTGGATTGTTGGGGGCAATATGCTGACTCTCTGTAAACCGCTTAGAGAGGGCTGAAAGCCCTATGAAGCGGTATATAAGTCTACTGCTATTGCTATTGCTATTGCTATGTTCAAAAAAAATCACAATGCCAAGAAGAATTCTCAAAGATTTGATGGACAAAACCATTCAGTTTCATGAGAATCTCAACTTTAGACAGACAGCAGCAATGGAGATGATTGGAGTCTCATCTAATAAAATGAATTTAGAATATTTTGAGTCTTTGGAAGGAAATGGCTAGCAACCTCCTCAATTTTTTATTTATATATTGTTTAATTAAATGGATTCGTTTCTCTACCCAGCTCATAGATGCAACACATTAAAAAATAGAATATGAACAATTGAAAGCTATGATAAACAACCCCCAATGATGACAATAACATCTAATGCACCTAGACTCCTGACTACTATGCCCTTAAACACATGTAGATTGCCCATTCTTTATTAAAGATTGGCTGAATTGGGATTAATCTTAATGTGTGTGGAATTCTACAAGATGAGTACCATGACCAAAATTAGCTGTAGCTCTTTTGAGTTGGATTCCTGTTCCTTATGCTTGATTAAGACTTTAAATGAAGTGGCAGGAGATTGAATCTGAACATTATCAATCTCTGACTGCTGGAGTATTTCTATTATCTCTAAATGAGGTGTAGTATCATTAAGAACCCTTCTTCTGATCTGATTGTTTTGGACAACTACAGATCTATCACCAACATTCCTTTTCTTTGAAAAGTTAGGAAGAAAGTGAGATTCAGATAATCTATTTCTAGAGACCTTTGCAGTTAACTTTAACTGCAAAGGTCTCTAGAAGTAGATTATCTGAACTTCTTGCAATCATAGTTGAGACTAGGATCAGAGATCTCCTTAGTCTATCAGCTTTTATAAGAATACTAAGTGCTCAGAGACTTGAGATTGCTTCTGAACTCTTCAAAGTCCCTTCCGATAGAATTATATAAATTTTCTGCAGATTATTTCTTCTAAACTGTTCTTGCATTTTAACTGGACATGGATTGGGATCCTTATTATGGATAATGAACAGGGAGAAAAAATTATAGAAACAATGATTCCTCTTTTTTCCAAACATAGGGTTTGTGTTTCTTTCATTCAATGATTTCACAAATTTACTGATTTCAGTAGAATTGATGGCATGCTTCAACAGGGGACAAAAGTCTATGATTACGTCATGGGTGATGAAGCTAATGTATTGGTGTTCAATGGAGAATCCTTTACTATGGGCTATTTTCTATGGCTACAATATATTCCAAATATAGAATAGGTGAGAAGTAAACCAAAAGGTATTGTGTGTATAATGACTGCAAAGATGAAATTCAATTTAATCCCTTTTCAACATGCTTGGGATATCAAAATAATTGATGGTGCACTTTCCTTCACGGTGCATTCCACTGCTCTACCAGAGTTCAGATCATTTGCTGAGGAACAAAATCCCTTAAGTGCAAAGGAAGATGGATTTATCAGACAGTTCTGGCAAGAAGCCTTTGACTGCGTACTCCCAGGTACAACTCTGAGTTATGAGCATGAGAATATTTGCAATGGAAAAGAGAATTTGGGGAGCCTTCCAGGACCTTTTTTGAAATGGAGATGACCGGCCACAGCTACGTGTCTACAATGCTATATATGCCATAGCTCATGGTT